GTAAACAGGTATAGGTGCCCATACAGTGTAAGTATATGCGTGTGTGTGTGTAACAGGCATAGGTGCACATGAAGTCCAAGATGTGCAGAGGAGACCAAGGAAGAGTGGTACCAGTGATGAGAGCAGAAGATCTGGAATGCAGGCAAAGGACACCTAAGTCAAGAAAGAGGATCCTAAGTTGAAACTTTCCCCCTTGTTTCAACTCTGTCACGTTTTTCTTTTGTGCAGTGGATCTGTGAGTTCAGCTTTCTGGGTGTTGAGTCGCAAGATCTACTGTTGCATTTCCGAAGACTCTGGTGTTGGCATTCTTTTGTGGCAGTGATCGTGAAGATTGGGCTTTCTTTTTAATTCCTTTGACCATCAGGGCCCTAGGAAGCAAGCGACGACGAGTCACCGGATGTATTTGCCACACTGACCCACTTAGAAGAGGCACCCCCATCTTATAGACGAGAACACTGGCTCAGAGAGGTTGAACGGCTCCCTTTGCCCTCATTCTGGTAAGTGATAAACTAGGAATTGAAACCGCTATGGAGTTCACCTCTGTTGGAAATGCTCCAGGACATCTTTGGATCTGTGGGAAACCCTGCTTGTGCCCTGAAGTTAACGAAAGCTAAAATTCTCTCGTCATGGGTCTGGAGTGATGGCTCGGCGGTTCAGAGTACTTGCTGCTCTTGAGGAGAGCTTGGGTTTGGTTCCCAGCACCTATGACTCTAGTTCCAGGGCATCTAAAGCCTTCTTCTGACTTCCGTGGGCACACGGTACACATTCATTCATTCTCATCACAGGGTTTAATGTCCAATGACATGACCACAGGTAACACCCGTGGGAAAATCTCAGGAAATTTTCACAGGAAAGTGTAATTCATAACATTTACATGGTCCAGTTAATGTTTACTCAAATTTCAGTTTTCTGAGTACTAATAAAAATTGCCTCCAAACTTCTCCTGAACTGTCTTTATACATTCATAAAAAACATTCTCAGCACTTCAATATTGGTTTTATCTACATCAACTATCTCCAAGCTTTCCAGTTACACGCTCTGTTTTATCTCTGATAGATACCATTGTCCTGGCTCTTGGACCTGGGTATCAGCCTGAAGGTCAGTTCGAAGTTAATGATTGAAATCTCAGGGCGGACATTATTCCTTGTCACTTGGAAATTTTCTGGGTCATCATTTTCTTCATATCCGTAACACAGATTCTGAAGCATCTCAATATGAACTGATCTCTGGGAAAATCCCCCCGCTCATTGACAGTTCCACCTTGTAGGCTCTATCCCCCTATTGATTGGCAATTGTACTTATCTTTATTTTTTTAAAAACGATTTATTTATTTTTAATTATGTGTGTAAGAATGGGCGTATGTACTTAAGTACAGATGTCATCAGAAACTAGAAGTGTGGGATCTCCTAGAACTAGAGTCACAGGTGGCTGTGGTCTGCCTGATGTGGGTGCTGGAAACTAAACCCAGGTCCTTTGAAAGAGTTGCCTGTGCTTTTAACTGCTGAGCCATCAAAGCAGCCACTTCTTGTTTCTTTTTCCTCGACACAGACCTACCCAGCCCACTGTGCTGTGCCCCAGTCCTCTTTTTACTGTTCACTGAGTTACTTAGGCTGGCTTTAGACTCCCCAGTCCTCATACCTCAAGCTCCTGAGTAGCTGCAGTGACAGGCCGCTCCATTACGCCTAGCTTTGGTGAGCAGGTTTGATAGCCCAGGCCACTCTGCCCTTTCTCAGGTCCCGCATCCCCCGAGCCTGTTCTCCAGGGTCCAGAAGCTGCTTTCTATTAGGGGCGGCTCTGTGCCTTTGCCCGCCGCCTGTTTGGAGCCTGTCTCTCTCTGCATAAATCTTTTTTATCATCTAGATTCTTATGATTCATTCAAAAGAAATTTGGAGCCCCGTCTGGCCTTTGAGCAAACATTTCTAGCAAACTGACCTATTTTAATGTCGCTTTCGGGTTACTTTAGGCCGGTGAATAAGGACATATTCACGGGCAGCTAAGACCTCAGCTATCGATTCCTAAAAGACGACTCAGACTTTGGAGAGCTGTGGTTTTTTTTTTTTTCCTTCAATGATTCAGAATCAGTTTTGCAACTTGAAAGCAGCCTGTGAGTCACACGTTTATGGATGGGCTGTGTTTCCTCAGAACAGGCCTCACTTCCTTATGGCTTTAGTTCAGCTATCTGAAAGTTGCCTTTCAAACTCTCCCCCCTCCCCCATGCTTGAAGGAGGATGCGCTCCGGGGCTTTGCGACCAGGTTCTGGAAGAGTATCAGCCCTGCTTTCTAAACTCTAAATATAAACCTTGCTTCCGGGTCCGGGGGGGGGGGGGCGCGGCGCCCCGGGGGGCGGGCAGGTGGCGGGGAGCGGGTCTGTGAGCGCAGGGCAGCAGACCTCACCTTTCTCCAGAATGCATTACAACAGGACAAAATAATACACCTTTGACTATTTAAGGGATAGGCTCAATAACACTTACGTTGCCAAAGCCACGGAGAAGAGAGAAAAGCCCCTCTTCAGGTCTAGACAGACCATTTACAGTATTTCTGGTTTCCCTTTTTGATCAGGAAATTAGATCAACAGCCTTATAGGGAAAAGTTCATTTGGGTCACAGGTGGGGCCCTTGTTAAAGTGTCGACTACTTCATCCATATTAGGTAACAGGAACTGCCTGAAAGGCATTTATTTTTCATTCTGTGTCATTCAACCATAAATGACTCAGTTCTGATATTATTTACCAAGCTCAGGCTGAACTCACCAGGGAGGCAGCTGGGAGATACACTTTTAATTCAGTCTCCGCAGGGCGTGCAGTGGCTGTGAGAGCCAAGGGGCTCCTGTTCACACCCCAGGGTCCAAATGCTTCAGTACTCTAATAGCGTAGATGTCATCAAAGTGATTTTTCCCGTCACTAAGTAAAGCTTGTTCAAGTTAAGGGGGATCGCACAAAGTCAGCCTGGAAACCACATGGATCAAAGAAGCTAATTAGTGACAGCCACAAGCATGTAACCGCAGCACCTAAATGTTAGCCTAACATTCTGGACGACGGGGCATCCTATGATTGGCCCTTTAAAGTAGGCTTTAGTTTCTGGGTCATTTTAGATTCATGACAACATGGAATGAAACATGCAAGGTTCCCCAGCACCACAGCCCCTGTCCCCAGGCACAGTTTCCCACTATCCGCATCTGGTACCAGGGCAGAACCTTTGTCACAATCGATAGACTGACAGCCATGCCACTGTCAGCCCAAGTCCATAGTTTCCCTGAGGGCTACACCTGCGACTGTGTGCTCCGTGGCTGTTGGCCAATGTGAGAAGACCCAGAGTGAGCACCATTAAGGTGTCTGCCTACAACCCTTCTCCTGGGCTGACCTCCTCAGAGACCAGAGGTCTTTGTGTCAATGTAATTATCTAAATGTGAGCTAAAGTCAGAAGCTTAAGCAAAAAAACTAATGTGGAACTTAAATCATGGCTGTTAAAAATTGGTAACATTTTACTACTGCCAAAAGTGTCACCGTTGGTGTTAAGATTTAATGAGTTCAGAAAACATGCCTGAGTCTTAGAGGCGGCTTAGAGGTTAAGAGCACTGGTTGTTCGTTCAGAGGATGCAGGTTCAGTTCCCAGCTCCCACGTGGCAGCTCATAATCTGATGCTGCCCTCTGGCTTCTGTGGGCACCAGGCATAGGACACATCCTTACATGCAGGCAAACACTCGTAAACAGAAAACACGTCTGACATTTACCTTTGCAGCTGCCACAAAAAGTTTATTGGTTAAATAAATTTAATACTCTTTACATTTTTAGCCAAGGGACCGGAGAAATTTTTCCCAACACCTGTCAGGAATTTAGCTAAAGTTAAGCAAAACAACAACAAAGGAACTAAAAAAAAAAAATCTCCAAGAGGCAGGACAATAAATCATCCTGGATAACCCGAGTCAAAGAAGAAGTCACAGTGTAAACTAGAATGTATTTTGAACGGGGATGGAAATGAAATCAGTCTATCAAAAAATGAGTTATGAGGCTAAAGACATCCTTTGCTTGTTTGTTTCTTTTTCAAGATAGGGTTTCTCTGTGTCTGTCCTGGAACTCACTCTGCAGAGCAGGCTGGCCTTGGACTAAAGACACCCTTAGAGGTGGGGGCTGGAGAGAGGGCTTGCAGTTAAGAGCACTTGCTGCCATTCCAGAGGGCCCGGTTCAGTTCTCAGAGAGCTAACAGCCATCTGTTACTCCAGTTCCAGGGGATCTGAAACTTCTTCCAGCTTCAAGGCGGCTGCACACATGTGACAAACACTCAGACATACAAATATACTTGATTTAAAGTAAAACAGATCTTTAAAAACCTCTCCAACAAGAGGTCTAGGACCTGGCTCAGTGGTGGAAGTCTTGCCTAGCACCTTCGAGACCCTGGGTTCGAGCCCAGCATTTCCCACCCCTCCATGAGAGTTGCTCCATTGTGCACGCAGGCTCAGGGGGCTTCACTGGAGGGTACTGCGGTTTGAATGATTGTTTCTTCCGCAGCTAGTACTGAACTTTAATTGCCATTACAGCATCATTGGGAAGCTCAGCTGTGAGGAGACTTTAGTCCAGTGGGTTTTACCCTCCTCGTCTCGGGCATTGGCTCCGTTTCTCACTCTGGCTCATCCTGGCCTTGCCTTTCCTTCACGTGATGCCCTCTTCTGTGTCTTGGTGCAGTCAGAAGGCTGTGTCTGGTGCTGGCCTCTGGATCGTGAACTTCTCGGCCTCTAGAGCTGTGAGTCAGTTCTTTCTTTCTTTCTTTCTTTCTTTCTTTCTTTCTTTCTTTCCTTCTTTCCTTCTTTCCCCCTTCCTCCCCCCTTCCTCCCCCCTTCCTCCTTCCCTCCATCCCTCCCTCCCTCCCTCCCTTCTTTCTTTCTGTTTGTCTTCTTCTTTTGGTTTTTCGAGTCAGGGCTACTCTGTGTAACCCTGGCTGACCTGGAACTTGCTTTGTAGCCCAGGCTGTCCTTGACCTCACAGAGATCCAGCTGTCTGTCTCCCAAGCACTGGGATTAAAGGTGTGTGCCACCACCATGGGCACACCATGGATGTGCCCATCTTCAGGCCACCTCTGCCCAGCAAACAAACGTGACAATACTCAGTTCCCATTCAGAAACGTTCAGCAAACCTGGAACAGAAGGAAAGTTCCTTGGCTTGAGAAAGCACATTTGTAAAAAACCAAAAATCCAAACCACAGCTAGCCATATCATCCATGGTGAAACCCCGGGTGCTTGTGCCTGATGACGGACAGGACCGGTCTGTTTGCGCCCGCCTTTCTTCCTCAAGCTTGTCCTGGGGACCTTAGCTTCCTCAGTGGTACAAGAAGAATAAAGACATACAGATTAGTTAGATGTTTTTGTTGCCGTGACAAAATGCCTAATAGAACATTGCCTTTACACACGTGCACATGTCTGTGTGTGTGTGTGCACACGTGCGTGTGTGTGCGTACACCTGTACATGGACTTTTACATGGATCTGGAAATCAAACTGAAGTCCCCATGCAAGCTCTTTACTACCTGAGCTGTCTCTCTAGTCCCAGAAGGCAACTGAGGAGGACACCCAAAGTTAAACACTAGCGTCTGCATGCATGTGCATGTGTACACACGTGCTTGTGCGCTCTCTTTCTCTCCCTCCCTCTCTCTCTCTCTCTCTCTCTCTCTCTCTCTCTCTCTCTCACACACACACACACACACACACACACACACACACAGGCAGTAAGCCTTCCACTGCCGTCTCACAGAGGGAACATTTTCTCATTCGCCCAGAATTTAAAAATGTCTACTGAATAAGCAGGTCCAGGGGCTGGGAAGAAAGGATATTGGTGAGGAGAATTCCTGCCTGAGGGAGGAGAGCCAGAAAGCCTTTCACTAGGAGACAAGAGAAAGTCGGAGCAGGCTATACTAGGATTAAGACATTGCCTGGGGCCCTTGGGTAAATACTGAGCTATGCTCTCTGCGCCCAGCTCAGGTCCCCTTTCAGACACACCTTGGAATGCCTGAAATGACACCTTGCCTGCAGAAGAAACGTGTCCCGAATCACCTGGGTCAGTGTTGTCACTGGCAGACAGGTGTCATGGCCGTGAGTAATCACAGTCTGCTGACCACACACAGACGCCAAGACGACTGTTCATTAATTGTTAGTCAGTGATGCCAAGGACGGAGTCTGTTGTTAGTGCCTTGCTTGCTGAGGACCCACCCCGTGCCACACTCTTGTCCCCATCAGCGTTGAGGAGCAGCGATGTGGCCCCAGTGGGCGCAGGGATGTCTAGACACCTGCTGCATGAGCATCACGTGGCTGAATACCGGGAGCATGGATTTAAGGATGTGTTATGTAAACTGTAGTTAGGAGGGAGACAGAGTCTCGGGTGCTGACTAGGAGGCTAGAAGCAGAGCCGTAGCCCAGAGCAACCAAGGTGAGCAGATCACTGGGGACCTCAGGAGGGGGTTGGAGACAAATCTCCCCATTGTGTCTTTCAAGAAATCTGTGGTGAGTGAACGAATAAAATTACCCAATCTTCTGTCCTCTTGGCCCTCAGGACAAAGTGACCTATTTCAAAAGAAAGCTTTTTGACCAAGCTTAAAGCTTAAAGCACAGTTTTCTTAACTGTGGCTCCCAGTGTGAGGCCCAAGAGAAGGGCATCCATCACTAACGAGCAACATCTAGACCAGGGGCCAGGTCAGAATGAAGGCAAGAAAGAGGAAGATGAGTTTATTGGTTTGGGTTTGGTTTTGTTTTCTTGGTTTTTTGAGACAGGGTTTCTCTGCGTAGCCCTGGCTATCCTGGAACTTGCTCTGTAGACCAGGCTGACCTTGAACTCAGAGATCCGCCTGCCTCTGCCTCCTGGGCGCTGGGATTAAAGGCGTGCGCCACCACTTGGCTACTTTATTGGTTTCAATCTTGTGTCTATGGTTGTATGATGTGTATAAATTAGGCATACACGTGGCGGCCAGAGGATAGCCTCAAATGCTGGTCCTCATCTTCCACCTCGCTTGAGTGCTTGCTACTGCATACTCTAGGCGACCTGGCCCCACGTTCCCAGAATTCCATCTCCACCTCCCATTTCACTGCAGTATGCAGGCATGCTGGGATTATAGGTGCATGCTACCATGCCTGAGGTCCTTGTACGCGTGTAGTGGGGATCTGGACCGAGGTCCTTGTACGCGTGTAGCAAGCACTTCTGCCTACTGAGCCATCTCCTCAGCCCAGGAAAATGTTTTTAGAGTTCCCCCCATTTAGAATCAATGGGTTGTGACTTAAGGGAAAATATACAGATTGCAGATTTTTCTTTTTGATTCACTCATACACTATTGTTGAGAAGAAAATGATCTATATTATTAACATGTTATAAAATGAAAGAGCTTTGAAAATCTTTTATGGTCTGAATTGGTCTACGTGTTTCACATGGCTGACACAGCCCTCTGTAGCTCAGGTAATGGGCTCTGACCATTGCCAGGGAGATCTGCCCCCGCCTCTCATCTCATGTTATTTGCCCAGATATCATGTGTTGCTTAAAATAAGGCATTTAATGACTGCTACAAAATGTAATAGCACTTTAGCCATATTATGCATAATAAACGTAACTATAATGTATGCATCCATAACACACATGTGAGAATTAGAAACCTGCTGTAATTAGGAGGATCGTAACCTATTTATAATTAAGCATTGAGGTCAGGCCATGTGCCGAGCACAGTGCAGGATGCTGGCACACAGGAGTAAGACCTCTAATACAAGCAACCTAATGACACGTGACGCCAAGCACCTGGAAAATGAGCACCTTCCAGCCTTGCTGGTGGCTTTGTCAAATGGTGCCACTGCAGTTAAGGGTGGAGTTACCATGTGACCCAGTACGTCTACAGCCGGGAGTCACTCAAGAGAACAAAGTGTGTGTCCACAAAAGACTTGTCACGAAAGCTCGCCGTCCACAGTGTTGTTCGCCCCTACCC